AAAAAAAGAAGAAGAAAAGAATTGACAAAGAGAAAGAGACAAATGGGAGAAGAAAATGAGAGATAGGAAAAAGAAAAAAGAGTAAGGAGAAAATAAGAAAATTAGACAAAAAAAAAATGGAAGAAGGGAAAAGTGTAAAGCTAAAAAGAAACTAAAAATGTTTGACCTCCCAAATAGCTTATTTGACCACTATTATTGGTTGGGTTGGGTCGGGGCGAGGTGGGGCAAATATTAATACCCGGACTTGCCCCGTAGAGTGAAGGAGCAAACCCGACGTTGCGCTTTTTGAGTAACGGGGCAGGTCCAACCCGCCCCAGAGGCTGCAGCTCGGGCCAGTTCGGGTCTGGTCCAAACCAAATTGCCATCCCTATCGCTATGGCCCGTCTGGTGCGTGGACAACTCACCTGGTGCGCACTGTTACACTGATCGCCAAGCGTGGTTAGGTCTCGCGCACTAGGGTGCAATGCAGCTCATCTAGCGGGTGTGTCGGGTCGCGCTGCATACGCTGGAACATACATGGCGTGCAGACGATGGGACACGCAGTGGACGCAGAATATAGGGCAAGCAGTGCTCGCGAGCACTAAGGCGTGCAGTGCATCATTCGAGTTATGCACTAATTTGCAATGTTATCAAAACGGGACCGGACCGGCCGGTTCGACCGGTTGGACCGGGAACCGGACCTAGTACCGGTTCGGTTTGCATGTTTGGGCCGCTGGGAGCAAGAACGGGTATCGAACCGGTTCAAAACCGGTAAAACCGGTGAACTGGTACCGGTTCGACTGGTCGAACCGGTTCTGAAATTTAAAAAAAAAAAATCTTGATGAAATAAAAAAAAAAAGACTGAGATAGTATTTTGTAGTTTGATGAATTGTAATGTTGGATTGGATATATTTTGATGTTTGATGACTTTATAGTTTGTATTTGTAATTTAGATTGCCTTGCTTTAGATATTGAATTATTAATCTATTTTAGTGAACTTTATTTAGTATTGTTTATGGTAAACTATACTTGAAATATTGATTTATCAACTCTTATTTAAAAAAATGTCATTATATGCTATAAAATTAGTGATATATATATATATAATTATATAATATACATATAAAATAAATAAATAAATTATATATTAGTTAAACCGGTTCAACCACTGGTCCGACCAGTGAACCATTGAACCAGTAGCTTCGCCGATTCCATGACCGGTCCGGTTTTGAGAACATTGCTAATTTGTTTTATTGGAGCAAGTGTGCAATATTTCGAATCCCATATTTGTGTTTCGTGTAAATTGGAAATTTATTTATAAATATCTTTAATTTACTCAAATCACATCTTAACTTGCAAAAATGCACGTTCCTCTTTAGTTCTATCGATTTCCAATGGCAAACAACCATTTGGGTGGCAATTGAGTTTGTGTCAATGATGGGTGTAGAAATGGCCCATGTCAGGCGCGGATAGAGTTTTTAGCTTGGGGTGATTCATATGAAGAAGACAGATTGGAAAATTCATCCACGTCCGTGGGGGCACATTAACAAGTAATCCATTACCAACACACACATATTTTGTTTCAAAATCTGTAGGGGGATATTTCGAGCACATAATACATGAAAAAGCAACAAATGATGACATTCACGGTGTGACGATTTCATGATCATTACATACAATACAAAATTGGCGCAAGAAATGGAAGCACAACATTGAATTGATTTGCATTTTGCAAAATCTCAAGTGGAAAAGCTAAATTCGAGCTTTAGACAACTATGAGGGGAGAACTTAGTGCAATACAATGCACAATGTAACAAAAGGCTTTTCAAGAACTTATTTTAGTTTAGACTGAACTGTCTGAAAACCAAATCATAAATGAAAATGTATTTGCAACCCAAACAGGTGGAAGGCTGGCTAGTCAAAACCGATTGCTAAAGGATTCATTAAACAAGTCACGGGCTTGCCAATGGCAAATAGCAAGCCTCAAGCCTCAGCCGATGGGCATTCATAATTAAACAAATCAAATTAAAAAACTGAATTCAGACCCTTGAGATCCTGGGTAACTTGAAACTATAGAAGCATAGTAAAGAAAACATATCAATATTTGGAATTTCTGCAACAGCTCATTGGTTGGACAAAACAAATATCTCACATGTTTGAAGTGCAGAAAACTATGAACCCAACCCACAAGGAATATCCCCAAAAGTATCATTGTATAAGCTGGAGGCCCACGTCCCCCCATAACAAGACGGCACAATCCATACAAGCTGATATCAAGCCCAGAAACTATAAATTCACAACAATTTTAGTAACATATATATAAATACAAAACCTAACAGAACATCCAAACATTCAAAAAAACTCATAGCTATCAGATTGCATTGAAAGAAACAAAGCCAAGGTAGGTAACATAGAGAACAATAAAGTCTTCCTCCCATGCTCGCCACAGAATTTCATAAACATAAAGATCCAAAATTCAACATGACTGATAATAAAACACTAAGGAACCAACCTACTAATCGATGGTTTGCATGATATCCTCGGCGGTGAATTTGGTCCCCTTGTCCTTATCCGCGGCCGCGCGTCCCTTGGCCTTGCGCTCGAGAAGCGACTTGCGGTCCTTGTCGAGGCGGAGCTTGTTGATGACGACCTTGGAGGGGTTGATGCCGACATTGACGGTGGATCCGTTCACCTTCTCGCGGGTGATGCGCTCAATGTGGATGACCCACTTCTTACGGTACACCTGCACTACCTTACCCTCGCGGCCCTTGTAGGTTCCCCGGACAACCTGAACCTCATCGTCCTTGCGGACAGGCATCGAGCGGACGTTGTACTTGGAGCGGAGGTCACTGGACAGCGGCGCACTCATGATGACGCGGCGGACGCTGGACGGCGCCGTGAAGTGAGCTTTTCGGCTCTTACGCCGGGAAGAGGACACGCGCGGGTTGTACTTCATTTTCCCTTCGCCGCTTTCCTGTTCTGCTCTCTCTGTGTGTGCTGTGCTGAAACTTAGGGTTTGTTAGAATTTATAGTGGTTTCACCAATACGGTGTCGTATTAGATCAGTTTCTTGATTTGATTGGATTGGGCTACGGCTCGCATTTTGTTATGGTTAAGGCTCAATCAATGGGCTAGTGTCAAAGTACTTACGTTTGTCATTTAGAGGAGCTGGGCCTATATGTTTACCCTAAAAAAAGAGGGCAATTTACAGAAATATTGACGCCCCTCATGTATTATTGAAAACTATTTACATTAAGGAACCTCATTATTATTTAGTCAAAATTGTATAGTATGTTTTCACTTTTATTCCTTTTTGTAGTCTAATTTGCTTTTAATAATCATTTTTCTGCTATTATTTTAATTAATATTTATTATAACAATTCCCAAAAACACAGCGTCGCCTTTGAAGGAAAACCAATAATCATTAAAAACAAACGCTTGAAAGAAGAAAGATGGTTGAAGAATCTGAGAATTTATCCACGACCACTGCCATAAAAGAGGAAACAGAGTACTCGACATCAATGGTCAAGAACCACCACAATCCTGGCAGAGACGAGTCGGACGCGGAGGAAGGGGAGCTCGTCAGCGACGATCTGGAGAAAGGGGCCATGGCAACGCCGCCACCATCGAGCTGACTTCGAAAAATCTCGAAGAAAGAAGGCTCGCAAACAACGATTCGATTCGTTTTGAATCCCGACATGCCCCATGGCCGGCAATAAAAAATCGCCGAGTTAGGATTCCAGTCAAGAAACACCACCGCTCCAACCAACCTTAAACGTCGGAAATCCTCTAAGAAGAAGACCCGCAGTCGGAGTTCGAACCCCAAGTTTCGTACTCCATCATGCCCTATTTACATGCTTTGGTAAATTAAAATTGTTATTGATTTTTTTAGTTTAGTTTTTGTTATTTTTTGGGGAATTTTTGATATTGAGTTTCTTATGTTGATCGGAAAGTTGTTTTTCTTGCTTTTTTTATTATGTTTTGTTAAAAAGTATAAGAAATATCTGAGTATTTGGAAATCGTTTTGTCTATGGAGAAAGTGATTTATTTGATGCTGAAGTTGCTAATAGTTGAAAAATTAGATTTCATAGTGTTAATGAAAACTGGAGCCTAATAAAAACAGGAGATTTCTATTGCTTTTATGTTGATTTATAAGTGTCGTGGTATTGCCTTTTGGTTGCTGTATCACATTTTTTCTTACTAAGATGTGTTTTTTTTTTCGTTTGTCGCCTTCAACGTACTCAGTGATCGCCTACTTTTTGAAATAAACTTTGTATGTACAATTTTTTGATCAATTTTTTTTTTTTTAATTATTAAGCATTCATGTTGGTGAAGAACAAGAAGAAAGATTTGGAGAAGAAGAAGAAGAAAAGGGGAAGAAATACCAATGCGATGAAAGAAGAGAGAAGGAAAAGAGAGAAAATGATAGATAAATAAATTTTAATTAGGTGATTTTTTATTTAATTTGTAACTGTTGTTTTATTAACTTCTGATTCTAATTCAAAATCAATGGCAGTTACAAAATGATGTATTTGTGGAATTGTAATTGTGCTGCTTCTTTTGTGGAATGAGTTTTTTATTCTGATGCAGTTAAGAATTTTTCCCCATATATGTACAATTTGAATTCACTTTTATCAATTAAAGTTTGGTGATTTTTATTTTTTTTACTACGACATCTCCACAGAATTTCCATCCAATTAATATATTATCTCTCTATAGGTCCAACTAAATATCATGCATTTAATTATTCCAAAAACAGACGCAACAAAAATGGGATCCCGATTAGAAAACAATATTGCGGTAAGAAAAAAAGGGACACATGAAGATTCTAAAGGTGATAGATTTTACAAAGGATTCACGGAACATTATGAAAATACTCTGTTGAAAAGCAAAGTATACTGAAGATAAACTTGAGATGAACAACTCTATAACACTTGCATCCGTTGGAAGCATCATATCAATGTCTTTGCCACCGTCTGTGTGTGATATAACAACAATAAGATATCTTAAAACAGCAAGGGAAGATTCGGAAGGTGATGATTTCACAAAGAATTTGCCGAACATGCTACACATACTATGTTGAAATATGTTTAGATATATTATATATATGCATCATATTCTTATAAACATTTGATATAACCATACTATCATAGAGCGGTTTATGTTGTCCCGGCTTGGATATTGTCGAGTCGACTTACCCGAAGTCGACTCTACCCACATATCTCCTTGTGATAATACATTCGATCGAAGGTCCGAATGCTTTTCTTAGTCGACTTCTACCATGTTGACTAGCCTAAGTCGATTCCGTCTGGAAGGATGAATAAGTGTATTAGGAGCTACTAGCGATTGGGGAATGACCCAGCCAACTCGAATACAAGGATATCTCGAAGTCGACTGAAGTAGTCTCGGGGTTCAGAGATCCCTGACGACTCCTATACACTTCAACATATCAGAGGGAAGCTATTAAAGGATAAGGAAGAATCTAGATGCTGACTAGGAGGTGGACAAAATATGAACCGACCAGGGTATTTTGGACATTTCTAGTAAGTCGGCCAGGGCATTTTGGGGACTTCAGGTAGATGTTTTACTTTTATATAAAGGATCTGAGGTAACTCCAAAACCCTAACTCCCATTCATTTTACATTCTTCTCCATTACTGCTGCTGCTCTCTCAGAGCAGCTCTCTTCATCTCTTTCACATACTGACTTGAGCGTCGGAGGCTCTATGCCGGAAACCCCTCCAGCATTGAGTTCTTGCAGGTGTTCTCGCGGTTCAGCAACAGTTTGGAGGCTATCGAGTCAGATCTGAGCTCATTCCCATCGGTTCATTCCAGATCTAGCCGGTTTTTCATCGGTTCACTCCAGATCTGAGAGGAGACCCATCATTTTGGCGCCGTCTGTGGGGAGTTCTTGAAGGAATTAAGAGCTTTACACTTAGCTTTGATCTGTCTCCGATGGCTGAGAAGGAAGGATTGCAAAAAAACTTAAATAAAGATTTCAGGGCAACGTGGACTGACAAGCGACCTCCGCCGATTCCCAGCCTCAGACCACCGCTCCAAGTGTTTGGTTTCCAACCGTTTGGGGCACACACGCCGTCAGGAGGGCGTATGGGGGAGGAGACGCATATTACCCCACCCGGAGTCAAGATCCCGGTTCTTACCCAAGGGGAGGCCAGTCACGTGAAGGACACGAGTGGAAAAGCGGATGATCACGCATCGACCGAAACATCTTTGAGATTGGGGAGGCAGCCTGGGCGACTTGATCAGGAGACAAGGCCACCAACCCAAGTCGAGGAGCAAACACTGACCATGACGAGAAGCGAGATGCAGAGGATGATTGCTGAAGCTGTAGCGGCCCAAATCAAGCAGACACAAGTCGAGCAGCCTAGGGTCGAACAACCTAGGATCGAGCAAGCTAGGGTCGAGCAGCCTCAAAATGAACAACAACCCCCTGAATGCGAACAGCAAGCGCAGTCGCACGAAAGGCAGAACATGAGGGCAGATGAGGAGGAGTCCTCTGTCAGGACCGTTAATCCACAAGCAAGAAACGACACCCTGGAGCAGTTGCTAGCTCAGGTGCGAGACTTGCAGGCTCGAGTGGAAGGGAGGAAAACAGGAAGTTCGAGGGGACACCCTTTTTCACAGCATATTCTAGACGCCGACTTGCCTCAGGGGTTCAGGGAGCTCAACATTTGGTATGATGGGTCGACTGATCCCTCTCGACATCTAAGGAGTTTTGAAAACATGGCAGTACTGCACCGCTACAATGATCCCGTTCAATGTCGAGCGTTCCTGACGACTCTACGAGGACCAGCGCAGGACTGGTTTTATCAATTGCCCCCAGGAGCCGTCAGGGACTTTGACGGATTTAGCTCAAGTTTTCTAAACCAATTCGCAAGTGTAAAGGCCCAAGAAAAGTCCTACCTTACTCTGATAGGCATGCAACAGAAAGAAGGAGAATCATTGAGGGATTATGTGGCGAGATATACACGGGCGTGCGTCGACGTCCCCTCGGCCACAGAGGAAATCAAGTCGGGAGGACTCACTAGAGGACTACTCCCAGGATTATACAGAAACTCCTTAGCAAAATGACCCGGGAGGACGTTCGATGAGGTTTTAGGAAGGTGCGTCAAATACATGAATGTCGAGGAAGCCGAAGCCGAATTTTTTGCAAGCAGCTAAAGCAAAAATTGAATCTCGGGACGAGAAGAAGGATAAAAAACCAATCACGGCGGTTGAAAGGAAAGGATCCCCGAAGTCAGAGAGGGAGGGACGATCAAGGGGATGGAGGACAACTCAATATACCCCTATGTTGGCCTCGAATGCAAGGATATTGGAAGTGATGGAGAAAGGGATCCGCGAAAGTGTTGTCAGGTGGCCACGAACGAGAAAGGATGGACCGACAAAACCTAAAAGCGATCTGTATTGTCGATTCCACAAGGATTACGGGCATAATACTGATGAGTGTCAGCACCTAAAAAATGAGATCGAGAGACTAATCAAAACGGGCCATCTGAAGGAGTTCATTTATAAGGATCGAGAGCGAACCAGTCGGCGAAGGGAGAGAAGCAAAAGCCCTCGCAAAAGAGCGAGGACGCCCGACAAAGAGGAGCTCCCGCAGAAAAGAGGAATAATTCATATGATATTCGGAGGGCCGACTGATGGAGATTCAAATCGAGCCAGAAAGGCTTATGCTCGAGGCCGCCACGGAAAAATTGAAGTACAACAGGTTGAGGAAAACGGTCCGATGATGAATTTTGGGCCAGCCAATATGGGAGAGGTCAAAAGACCTCATAATGATGCTCTAATGATCACTGCTCAAATATCAGGCTATGAAGTGCAGAGGATTTTCGTCGACACGGGAAGCTCGGTGAATGTGATATTTTACAATTGCCTTAAACGGATGGAAATCGACATCGAGCTTACGCCCCTGCACACCTCACTTTTTGGATTTAATGGCTCGGAAGTCGCACCCCTAGGAGAAACCACGCTCGCTGTTGTCCTCGGGGAAGGCGACTTGAGGAAAGTAAAGATGGTGCGATTTGTTGTAGTCGACGTCGAGTCGGCCTATAATGTGATTCTAGGAAGGCCAGCACTCAACACATTCCAAGCAGTAGTGTCAACCTAACACATGAAGCTTAAGTTCCCCGTAGGAGATAAAGTAGGGGAGGCCCGAGGAGACCAGAGGCTGTCAAGAACCTGTTACCAGATAGCAGTAAAAACAAACCAACAAGTGGAGGTTAAAGAAGGGAAGAAGCCGATGTCGAGTGAAAAAAGACAAAGGGAAGGCGACCTTGAGCCGCACGGAGAGTTGATGGAAATTCAAATCGGGGAAAGAGAGGAGCAGACCACTAAAGTTTGGAGAGAGTTGGAAGAGGAGTTGCGTCGACAGTTGGTGGACTGTTGAAAGAATTCAGAGACATATTTGCCTTTTCTCCTGAAGAGTTAACGGGAATCGATCCTGATGTCATGGAACATAAACTTAATGTCGACCCCCTAAAAAAGCCCGTGAAGCAGTGGCTTAGGCATCATGGGGCAGAGATCGATAAAGCAATTAAGGTCGAGGTGGATAAGTTACTGAAAGCCAAACATATCAAAGAAATTCAATTCCCTGAATGGATATCAAACACAGTGATGATGAGAAAAGCGCTGAATAAGTGGCGTATGTGCATTGACTTTCGCGATTTAAATTTAGCTTGCCC